AATTTCCTCCATCTTTAGGAAGCTGCTTTTCCCATTGGAGCAGGAAGGATGCAGAAGGGGGACGGATGGATAGATGGACCAATAGAACAGCACGAGAGGACCGGACCAGCCTACAAGGGCACATTTGAAATTGTATAAAAACAACTGAATGGAGGAGGACAGCGTTCCTTCTCCTCCTGTAGTCAGGTTGAACGGTTTTGCTGTTGAGGTCAGGGCTTCAGATAGAGATGGAACCCAGAGCTCTGTAAATTGCTTTATTCGATGGTCTGTTTAGTTATGATAATAAATGTTTGAAAATTGATATTCGATTCCGATTATTCTTCATAAAAGAACACGCTGCAGCCCCTAATCATGAGTGCATGCCTACAGCACAGGCTCTGGTCCAGCATAAAGCTTCTCACAGTAGGAAGGGAGAACTGATCCAAAATCACCAGGCATAGCCATAAATTTCACCCTAAAACTTCAGTGGTAACTAACTTGTCTTAGTAACTTAAGAGAAGTGCCCCTTGTGAGATATTTCATGAATCTTACCCGAAAGCCCAGCTCCTCTGAGGCCTGCAGAAACACAGTATTCCTCTGGTGCCTCCTCCGCAGCTCTTCCCATAGGACTTCCAGCTGGCTGAGGAACTCCTCAATCTTGGCACTGCCTGGATGCTGTGCATGGACCAGCCCGCGGCCTTCCTGAGGAAAGGGCGTTAAACTGGTGAAAGCATGTGATGACTAGAGGATTTATATTGGAAATTATAAACCTAATTTGAAGCACTGGGTAACTAAATCTCTCTCTCAGATTAAATGTCAGGTCATTATTTGATTAATATGCAAACCAAACCTGTCAAAGTGCCCAGTTTGCAAAATATGGGGAGTGTCATCATTCAAGGCATTCATCCAGTGTTTATGTTTTATTAAAAGAAATTGTGAATGTGATGTGTGCCTCAGCTTACCCTTTTGACAACCTCTATCCTGGCTCTGTTGGTGAGGATTTCTTTTTCCAGTGCATGTTGACACTTCCTGGCAGCCTCCAGCCCATCAAAGCTGGCAATTGAACACACCTGTGTGGCCATGGACACATTTTCTTTCAGCCAGGACAGAGTCTGAGATGGGATGGGGGGAGACAAACAGGTAAAGGGTTAAAAAGATGGAGAGTTTAGTCTCTGATTGCAGAACAGCAGAAATGACATTTAGCCACCAAGAGCCACAGTGACCAGAATCCAGGTGATGCTATCCAGTATGACCTTTAAACCTACCCAGCATTTGTAAAATGAAGTCAAGGCAATTATTGGAAATGAAACACTTGATCAAGCACAAAACAATCTAGTCTCTTTTAAAAATGTGGCATAATGTCTGTGGCTGGTTAATAACTGATGTGTACAACTGACAATACTGACTTGACAATTCATAGTAATGAATTCTGAGGTGGAGGTCACTGGATATAATTCAAGATGAACCTTTTTTTCTGTTAACACATGTTCTTTACAGTACAGAAACAGTTTGGAAGAGTGATATCTGTTATGAATGGAAATACAAGTGTGCCTGACAAGGGTCAAATCACCTTGTCAGCAGACACAGTGAACTTCTGAAGCTGCATATGAAGCTGTGGGTGGCCTCGCGGGGTGGTGGCAGGCTTGGGCTCTGCTCCAGGGTTTCTGCTGCAAAGAAAACACAGACATGACTCCACTTACATAAAGACCTCTCATTATGTAAGTCAGGGAGAGATAGAGAGAGAGAGAGAGGGAGAGGGAAGCCAGGGTGTCACCTTTCCCCCTTCAGTGGATGTCTGATGATGACATCATTTGCACAGGCAGTTTTATCTCCCATGGGTAAAGAAGTGTGGTTCACCGATTGCTGCTCCTGGCTTTGGCTGCTTGGTGTCCTCCCATATTTAACAGGATTCTGTGGACAAAAGAGTAAAAGTTTCTGTAGGCAAATCCAAAAGATCAGCATGATGACATGACTAATGTTTGCTTTTTTGCTTCCGTCATTGAATAAATGTTGACTGGATGCCTAAACATCTCAGATGGAGGATTTAATATTTTGAGCAGACTCTGGACAACGAGGCACTTCTGTAACTCACTGTTAACCTGAATGTTACAATGTGGCTGGAAGCTGGACAACATGAACAGCTGCCCAGACTCCTGCAAACGACACAAGACATACTTTCTTACAAAGGTTGGCTCAGTAAAATAATCCTGACTAGGCCATAGATACTAGTTTGACAGGATCAAAGTTTATAATAAAAGTAATGGTGCCAACATGTGCTATACCACTCTGATGACTAAAAAGAGCCAATGCATTTGGAAATGTAACCCTTTTTAAATTCCTATCCCCAACTGTCATTACAAAGCAGCAGTGTTTTTCAGATACTGATTTCCATGGCCATCCACTGTGTTCAGTACAATGTGTGTAGTTTTTAGCAGGGTCAGTTCTAGAGCTATAGAACTTGCATACTATACTGTATACTGAAACACTGTATATTAAAGGCGTCAACAGTCAGTAAGTCCATCTGCACCACCATTAACCATTTTTAAAGGTTGGCCAAAATTCTGCAGCAGGGTTTCCCATGAGAACTACACATCTCTGGACTGTTACAGACACACAGTGGGACAGACAACCTGCTGCCCACTGCAAAAGGTTGTCCAGAACACTGTGCTGCAACAGGGGCCAACATAACAATGCAAGAATGCACATATGGTGCTAAGAAATATTACCTATTAAATTATTTTTTTGTCTTTTGAATATTTAATAAAACTGACATCTCTGTTTAACTATGCGTAAATGCTGTGTTCGTTGTTCTAAATTACATAATGTTGTTTACATAAAAACAGAGCAGGCACAAGTAAGCTCTCTGCAACAATCAGCAAGGCAAATATGCATCTGTTAATGCTTTTGGGTTAAAAAAACCTGCATCTGCTGAATTTATACAACAGCAAAAAGCACATTAGGGGCCCATTTATGTGTTAAAGCTGTAAAATTGATAGAATTGATAAGCACCGCTAATGTCTCTGCCACAGATATTTGCTTCTGTCCTTCATCCTTCACCATGGCTTCCACTGAAACAAGTTCTCACTCGCTCAACATCCCTCTCTGCCATATGAAAAAGAATTATGTCAACCACAGCAAAAAAATTTAACTTATGTCTTTTTCAATGGCACTCTGTGTTTTTAAGCCTCATCCAACCATTTCCTATTTCAGCATGTCTGGGAACTGTTGATTCTTATCTGTTTTCTAGTCTCAATCTCCTCTTGCCCTGTGTGTCTTTCTGCAGTGTGCTATGAAGTGATGTCAGCCAAGAACTATTACTTAGCACCAAGTCCATCTGTTTCTACAGCCTCAGCATGTGGCTACAATTAGCCAGAGAAAGAGATGATAGCCATGTTTACCTCCAGAAACATGCCACTGCTAACACAAACAATGACATATAGGTTGTTATGTATGTACTTTGTAAACATACAGACACTAAAACATATACAGTTAACTTTACTCAACTGAGTCTAATTCCACCATGACAAAAAAACAAAAGTGTATATGCAAGCACATGTCTACAGGCACACAGAGTGCTGTCTACCACTACATCCAGTATAGAAATATCTGACAGTCATGACCAACCCACAGATGTGCACCTGCACATCTTACTCTTAAAAACACTGTAATAAATTTAATGTAGCAAGAACCTGGAGTTAAAGTGCTATGAAAGTATGTGATCAATTACTTTTACTGTTCAGCTGGTAGTTGTGAGTAGTACTGAGTTTGGCCTTTGAACTCTAGGAGTGTCTTAATAATCCTGCCATAGAGACTAACAAATGAGCAAGTTGAAAATACCCACATTTCACACCCTCACACACACCAATCATGTAAAACCCTCTACATCTCTTTGTAATGTCCTGTATCTATTGTCTTGTCTTCCATGTCCTGCTCTGCTTGTTAACTTATTTGTTTTGAAAACAAAACAACAACAACAAAAAAGACTAATAAAAGAGGCTCCCACAAACTGTGTGTCCAGGTGCCATCCAGCTCCCAGAGCAATAAAGATTACTAACTGCAGTGCAAGGGCTCAGGACAGCTATGCCAATGAGCTCAGCTACTCTGAGAGAAACAGTTTAGCCAGATTCGTTGCCCTGACAGGCCCCTGTCACAGGTGGAGAAGCCACAGGGCCGTTAAGAGCATGAAAACGCAAGTAGGGATATAAACACAGAAACACAGGGAGAATAAAAAGAAAGAGTGATGTTTTCTCTCCTTGAGCATCTGGGAACTTTCTCACTGGGCAAAATGAGGTCAAAGGCTCAGCAGGGACTTCAGGGTCATCAAGAGGAGATCCGCATTGCATTATGGGATACCTCTGGGGTGAACATAAATAGCCACTGTGTTTTCACTTACAGACTGTAAAGAGATTTTATATGCTAACTTAAAAGGCTAAATATCCACATAATTACTGGTTTTAACACACCGCATACTTAAATTTCTGGATACCCCCACTTCTAAAAGACACTAATAGCATTTCCTCATAGGTTTCTGGGCAGTGAGGTTATTATAAGAGCAGCCACATGATCAGTAAAGTGCTGCTAGGCCTCCAAGATGAAGAATGTCATGTCTGAGGAATCCCCATGCTCTGCACATTATCCACTCAACCTGGACTGACCCACAGTTCATCTGTTAATATAGTATTAATCCTGTGACTATGTACTTTTGCAAGACAGCTTGAAAGCCAAAATATCATTCTACCATAAAGTGAATTTTTTTGTTGAAGGGAAAGGATTGTGTATTTGCTCTGGCCCACCCTTGAACCATGTTGTATAGTCATAGCTTGACATTTTTCATGGAAACTTATGGAATTCTTGTGCCAGGGTAAATAACACCTCTAAAAGCTCTTCCTGCGATTCCTACAGGGCATTATTCATAACATTTGCAGACTGGGGTTCTTGTAAAGAAACAGAGCAGGGTAGCTGGGAAACAGAGAACAATTACAGATTTCTGAGTTCTCTACAGTACTGGGTGGTGATTTTTAGAGCCAAGCTGGTGTTCATTCTAACCACGTGATCAAACACCAGATGATGTTATTAACTGAAACTAACTAGATGGCGAAATAGAAAAGTAGCAGAACAGAAACCACTGCTCTACAGAACATCTGAAAAACTACAAAAAAGCTGTTATTTAGGAAAAACCCGCTTAAAGTGTAAACCAGGTATTTTCCAAACCAAAGGACACCATGCGTCACTTTGTGCAGCCACAGATGCTGTAGCACTGGAATAAGCTGAGCTCATCTTAAAGTAGCTCTGATGCTGTTGTTCTCTCCCGAGAGCCACAGTGCAGTAATAGAATGAAATACCAACACTACTTACCACACAGCCTTTCAGACGATTCTGCTCCTCCTTTACCTCCTTTCCCATGATCCTTTGTGTCTCTGTTCCCACGCTGCACTGGGGTTCTCGGGCTGGTGTCAAGGGGTCAGCATCTTCCCTAGTGAAAGTGGAGCCAGAGGGGCAGAGTGGGGTGCTGTCATTTCTGCAGGAAGAGCAGAGCATGAGGTTACTGAGGTGCTGACAGCAAGCCCATGACTCAACTCCAATTATGGCTCTTTTCTACCAGTGTTTGTGTTGTTTGGTTTAAAAAATTATGAACGGCAGCTGATAAGACAGACGAGCTGATGTAATATTTGGACCTAAAAATAATCCACCGACATCAGAGGTTCTCAGCCTGAGAAATATTTGGAAAATAGGAGATGTTGGAGATGGACTTCTTAACTGTGGACCTCAGTTAAACTCTATTCACAACCTGACTCTATATATGCCTCAAAATTCACAGATGCTTCTCAGAATATCATTGAACATTGAATTATTATTTCATGATATGGCACATTTCATAATGCAGGCTGTAGGAATGTGACAAAACTCAGTAATTCAGTATGAGCCACAGGGGCTGAATCACAATTTCAATACTTGTAGCTTGGTTCCCAGTTTATTACAGCATTTAAATGTGGCTGTACTAAATATTTCTTCTGTTAGTGTAATGTTGTAAATGTCAGGATTTGTATTATAGGCTATTAAAGTCATGATAAAATTGCTTCACAAGTACTGTAAAGATGACAAAATATGGCTGCAAACATGTTTTGTCATGGGTTTCAAGACTATTCATGGTGACAGCAAGATTATAGAATATTCATAATGAGAAGAGAACAAACCACACTGCTAACTTGACTCGGTAAGTAAAAGCATTATTTACCCCGTACAGCAATCAAACAAATGGTCGATTTCCAAAACAGTGCAGAAAAATGAATATTACAAAGTGGGTGATGAGTGATGCTCTGTGCATTAGCTGGTCTCCTGTCAGCCAGATAGACTGGTCCTTCACTTTGTTTATCATTTTTCACTGACTGTACCCAAATTAAACAAAGCTAATCAAGAGCAAGAAAAAAAAACTCTTTATCCAAAGTTCATTTTAATTAGTAAAACTGTTTCAAGGCTTTGCCGATGCAGACTTTAATGTAGAGTATGAGCAGAGTAATAACAGGAAAATAGTTCAGTGGAAAACTGTGGGTGAGATGATGCATGATTTTCACGAGTCCACCAAAGTTATTGGCAATATGCTTGGCTTGCTGTCTTACCTGAAAACCTTCTGAAGATGCACCCAGCAGTCTTTCACCTCACTTTGCTTCTGTTTGACACCAGCAGCCAGGGCAGGATGGAGATTAGATAGCTGGGACACACTCACATCCAGCATCTACCACACACATGCCTGTAGTTTAGGTAGAGAAAGCCTCTGCAACACATTCTCAGGATCTGACCGAGTGGGGCTGCTTTAAGTGAGAAGGTGTTTCCTACCATGATCTGACTGGCGATGTCACGGATTTCTCGGTCTCCCAGGCTATCTGGTTCTTTGGAAGCAGGTATGCTTTTCCTCTGAAACAAACGGCATGTATCAGAGGTGAATACATTGTGAGAAGAAACACTGTAGAAAAGAAACTGTTAAACTGACAAGAACTTTTACCAGGTTGTTAATAGCAAACAATGTATTATCAGCCTGCTGGTAGAATGAGGACACCTCCAGTGCCAGCTGAAGATTTTCATGGCAGTTTTTTAGATGAGACTGGGCCTTCAGCCACCTAGACACACAGCAGACGACAGTACAGATAAGTTCAGTCTTCAGTTCATCTTTAGAATGAAGCTGTTTCATGAAGCAGTTCAACTTAAGGGACAAAGTGTACAATTTATTGATGTGCTTCCTCCTGCTGGAGATGTTTTTGCCATCTGTCTTCCCCTGTTTCTCCAGTTTTAGGGCCAAGTAGTTGATCTCCTCATGGAGGTTGCTGTATAGCTGTTCATCCTGCAAGGAAACAGGGGAACACAATCCAACTATGACCTCAGCTATCTTTACCATACGCCCTGGGAGACACACTACAGACAGCCATATATAAATGATTGGTAATATAAACCATTAACACATGGAAATCTGCATACTTTTACATAAAGAATGTTGTTTAGCATGTATAATGTATATTTAATCCATGCTTGGTTAATTATTAATAGTTCTGCTTCTTGCTCCTTTACAACTCTCACCTGTTTCAGATCTAAAATTCTCCGGGTCAGCTGCATTTTGTCAACATTCTCCCCTAGGACATTCATCAGAGACTGCTCTTCTTCCTGGTGACACACATAAAGGGTGTTTATAGCCCCTGTTTGTTAGGAACCCAAACCACATTATCCCTGCTACCAAGGAAGAAGCTAAACAGAACTTATGGCACAGAGGAAAGGATGAGAGAAACTAAATGAAGAATATTATCCCCTCTAAGGATAGATGTGTTATAGACTTTCTAAGAAACATCCTCCATAACATTCCCACAGATTCACTGTCAGTCATCAGTTCACTGGTGCCTTACATGGTCATGAACAGAGCGATAGCACAGGCACTAAAACACACTGGCTGTTTGATAATAACAGGCAGATGTTTCACACTGGTGAATATACACACTTGAGGATACCAAGCTAGTTTCCTGTTTTAGCAGCAGTTGTTTGTTGTGTCAGTTACCATGACAAATATTAATAAGAGCTCTAAGCCGACTGTTTTTGGTGTGAAACTTCACAAATTGTTGAAATGCGAAGGTTTACTCAGTAGCTTAATAAAAGTGGCTTTGAAAAGGATGATTAAAGGCAGCAAATATACCATTTGCACCGTCCATTACTTGTACTTCTTACACTCAGTATGACAACAGAAACAGAAGGGGTTTTTTTTACCTTTTCTTTAATCCATGCCTCCAGCTTGTCTACTTTTTTGTTGAACTCCTGCAGGTTCTTAGCTCCACCCAGGGCCCTTGTCTGATTTGCAGCCATCTGTTTCAGGGTCTGCCACTGGTCCTTGAGCTGGCTAAGCTGCTTCTTTACCAGATCAGATGTGGGGTTCTGCTTACAGGTCAACTGCTCACCCATCTTTTGAAAAAAATAAAAAAAAGGATGTTCATATGAGGTGTAGCCCCAAGACTAACACAGAGCGGTGGCTGAGTATATTTGACACCTCCAGCCTCTCAGAGTCATTTGATTATGTGCCAGCCAGCTTCACAAAAGTTGGAAAGCTGCCATTCATGTCTTGAATATAACCTTGAAAATTCTGTCTCTACCCTTCCTGGGCTGTCTAATGTCAGGGAAGGTTAATTATCAGCAATGTACCATTTCCGAGCATTTTTTCCTGAGGGGGAAGTATAAACTGGCTTGACAGAGTCATCTGGAACACTCACAGTCTGCTTTTCTCTCTGCTCTGTGAGACCATTATGTTTTGTGTTAGGTGACTTGACAGACTCTTTTAGCACCATAGACAGATTAATGGTTTCATTCACATCTCCATTACACTTTAAAAGGCTGAAACAAACATTTCATTTTGGATGTGGGTTGTGCGGCTGTGCGTGTTCTGACAACATACTATAGCCTTGTGTTGATTTATTTTGTTACCTGGTTGAGTTGAATTAGAGTGTTCTCAAAGTCTTTGAGGTCTCTCTGAAGAGTTTGTGAGGCCTCCTCCCAGTCCTGCAGGGGGCAGCGCTGAATATTACAGCCCTCTTTCAGATCCTGTAGCTTGCCTTTGATCCATGCCTCTGCCTACAACACAAACAGACAAAAATGTTTAAGATGTGCTTTACACTGTGCACAGCACCCAGCACAGTCAGACACTTGTGTCTGTTTATAGACCCAGTTCAGCCGTTTGATAATATTTCTTGGTTTAGAGTGAAATTTGAGAATGCATCAGCTTCAGAGACCTGATGTAATATAACAACTGAGAATGGCTTAGGAGCATTTACATTTTAAAAATAAATGTCTACAGTGATACTTCACTAAGGATGTGCAGTACAAAGTGCATGGCCTTGCAGTAACAGTCTGTGACCATAACTGGTTTGTCTCGGAGTAAAAAATGAAATGATGCCATAATGTACGCCTGGAAAAAAAGGTGGCGGATAAATATATTAGTATGGATCAATATTTCACATTGCAACATGACAAAATTATTTTCCGATTTCTATTGCAGGGTTTTTCCTATGATATTTATATCTAGAGCTTTCACACCAAAGACTCATCTACAGCCCATCAGCTGTGCAATCTCTGCAATCTCTGTGTAACAATAAAGCGACAAACCCATTGGTAAACAGTCCTAATTGAGCTGATCAGGTGAGCTAACAGGGAATGCCTTATTCCCTGGTTTAAATGATATGGAGCCTCAGACACATCAAGAACATCTCTTAGTTCTCCAGTTCTCCAGCAGAAGTTTCTCTTGGCAAGTGCCTGGACTCCATTGCATAAGGCTCTGTGCTGCAGAGCTGCCCTTTCTAGCAACATTTGTATGGAGGGAGAACTGCAAATTAGGTGGCCAAAGTCAGAAAATGTTGGAAAGTACATTGTTTTCTGTGGGAAATCAGTGACTCATGCAAGACACTGATTCCCCACATGGGGCTCTTTGCAGAACATTGAATGGATTAATAAATCAACTCAGGTTCTTCCACTTCTAAGAATGATCCTAAATGCAGTTAATCAAATCAACAGACCTTTATTTTTCACTGTGTTGTGTTTGTGTATTTTGCAGAAAGTCAAATAATGGTTAATTATTATAACATCAAATAATTATTAACCAAGGAATTTAGTATGACTGACACTGAATAATAAATTCTACAGACACCCTTCTTTTAAACCAATAAAACATCAAGACCACACATGACATGAACATTAAACAACGCTGTTTGAGATGAAAATGTGATGTCACTTCTCCTCTGAGAGGCAGTTCATTAACTTTACGAGGCCCCCGGGGCAGTGGAGGTATTTCTGGGCTGAACAGAAGGAAAAGGGCTTGACACAACAGGCCTGCCCCTATCTCCTCATACTGCCTCCCATGGCATTATGATGACCTCATACAGGAAGTCTATCATTCCCTTGTTTCTTCCTGTCCGCTCTCCACAACAATGGTCCGTTTATCAAACTGTACAGTTGGGCCTTAGTCTAGCCACAAAAACTAGAGACAAATGCATGCAGTTCAGACTGTAACAGTGCTTCTGATTTCTTGTAAAAAAAAAAAAAAAATCTGTGGCCACACAAGACATCACCACTGCAGTCAACACAGAACAAATTTCAAAATAAACTCACTGAAATCACTATTTTTCAGAGTTTTTCATTTCTACAAGTTCATAGGAACCTAATTTGAGTGTTTTAGCTGAAAAACGAGGTTGGCGTGTGTATATATTTACACTTACATAAAATGTTTACCAGCAAACCACATTGTTAGCCTCTCTAGTAATGCAACGTGGCCCTGAAAAAAACTGTGGAAGTTGAAGTTTTTCTACTTTATCGTGGAAATGAAAGGTGAAATGTTTTGCAAAGCAGCCTCAGGAGACAGATGGCCATCAATGAACACATGCTTTTCTGTGTGGTCACCTGCTTTGCTTTCCTAACTTTAAGCATTAGGGGCCTTTAATAACGCATTTTCATCAGCGATAGTAGTCCCTGTAAAATCCCTGTAAAACAAGCAGGTCCCCAAATATCAAAACCTCTGGCTATTTAAACCACATTCTCAAAAAAAAAGTTAAATAACCAGTGACTGTTTCCTCTACAAGCAGCAGAACTGCAGGCTCCACTTAAGAGCAAAGGGGCTGCAGAGCTTGTTAACATTAATGACGTGTTACAGAGCAGCTTTCAATGCATTCACACATCATATGTTTCCCGCAGCTGACAAGTCCAAAACAATTTTTTTTTATTACAGGAAGTAAACAGCTTATCACTTGGAGGGTTGCTCAACAAAGGTCTGACAGCAAAGCCAACTGCTGGACAAAATGTCCCTCAGCCAAACTCGCTGAGAAATGTCCTTGTACTCCGCAGTGGATGCAGCGCTAAGATAACACAACCAGTTGTGCTGCTTGGCTGAGTCTCCATGGGCCATAGGCGTGAAGAGATGGAGCCAAACAATGATCTCATCCCTAAATAATTACTTCACTTGTGGCGGTTTCCCCTCCCTCTCTTCCCTCAGCAGAACACAGCTCACACAGTTCTCGAGACAAAATAAGAACCAGTACATATTTTGCTCTCCTCCCAGGGTCATGCAACAGGCGGCTTCCATTCGCATTTCATCTCAGCAGTGTAACTTATGACATAAACCCACCCCAGCTTCTTTGCATATAGTATTTGTGCATCAGAGAAGATGGGAGATTCTGTTAGGTTTGATTTTAAAATGATTTAAAATATTTCTATCTGCAAAACACAGATTCTGGAAAAGTGAAGTGCTTTTTATGATTCATACATATGCAACATGTGACTAGGTGTTTGTTATGTGCATGTTACATTTTACCTGCAGTACCTCCTTGTTGAAAAGCGAGTTGCGCTGAGTGAAGATGTCAGTCTGGGATGTGTCTGCTGCTGACACTTCATTCTGTGTGCGTAGGTGACTGTCTTTCCTTGGAAGTGCTTTTTTCTGTGATTCGGACACTGAAATCTATGAGCACATAACACAGGCAATTAGATCATTAATATGATAAAACCTGAATTTTTGCCTCTGGTAAAACTTTCTGTATATAAAAGTACAGCTCTTCAGCTACCATCACTTCAGAATAAAGGGATAATTAAGCGTCCATTAATATTGATTAGACCCTGACCTGACCCTTTTTTCTCTACCAACCTCAGACATTTCCAACATGAGCCAGACTGGTCCCAAGGTACCTCTTAACAAAAATCTAGTATCAGCACTGGGACATGAGCACGAATGGTACAACATCACTAATGGCTAAACATTCCTACTGCTGTCCAATCAGGAAACATCTGGGCACATGAAGGAAGCAGGAACAGAGAGACCCCTGACATGTTTTACTGTAAACATATTGTCTTTAAAAGTAAATCATGTTCACTCCTTCATACCTCAACAGGTAAAGGCATCACCACCTTTTCAAGTATAATTATGGCCATTTGCATGAATAAAGTATAAATGAAGCAAAGCAAAGCATCATGGTTACCAAATAAGGGATGATGTGAATGATTTCTGTAGTTTTTTTTTTTTTTCGTCCCAACAGGGGAAATGAGACCATTGTTGCGTCACTGTGTTAGTATAACCAGCCTCAAAAAGGACTTCAGCAAGTCCTTTCTTTTGTTAACATCTTCCCTGACCTAATGTTTTCCAGGGAGCCCTGCCTCTGCACAGTCTGCTGTAAAACAGCACTTCATCCACAACACACATGGATGACTTCAACAAGGAACAGGCCAAATCCAACAGCCCACTGACTTTAAACAATATCCTACAATATACTTCTACTGTTTGTCTTCTGTAGACTGTTTCTTTAATAAATTACAGTCAAACAAGAGGAAACAATCAGCTATTGGTAACTGGTTTTCCACCTCTGTGTATCATTGCTGCGAAAAAGCCTATATCATATTAAAATGTTAAACCTTTGCAAACATTATGACTTCCTAAACTCCAAGAGTTTCATCAGCTCCACAGTCAAAGACCCCATTGCCTTGCAACAAAACTGAAAGTAAGATGGGAAAATAGAATTATTATCAACAGGAAAATATATAAAATGATTTTAGGCTGAATATAACACTTACTTTTTAAATTAAACACCTATTTACTGAAGTAAAAACAAAGCTGTTGCTTTTCAGCAGCTATTTTTATTTAGCAGTTAACTAGCTGCATCTTTACCTGCTGGATGGATTTCTCTCTGTTCACTTTCCCCCCGGTGTGTCCGTTCGTGGGCTGAAAGACATTGCTGCTGTCTTTTCTGACTAACACCTAAGGAAAAAAAATTATGAGTCACTTGCTCGACTCCTGCACAGGAGATAATTATTAAGGCAGTCAAAAAAATAACTACAATTTCCAATTTGTATTTTTATAGGACCTAGTGCACGTGCCTGTGAAAAATGTCATAACTACATAAATGTTACAAACAAACATTTGCATGAAAAAATAAATAATACATTGCACTGGGTTTCATTTGTCATCAACAGGCCCTTGTCATAAAAATATTTTATTATCATACCTTAAGTAACTAATTAGGCTTTTAAATCACTGTGAAAACCTTTTGGGTTCTTCAGGTTTGTTGCCTATATGGTGAAATGTTTGTTCTGTGTGATGTAAAATGTCGATATTTTATGCTGAGACTGTGCTTAATTTCTTTGTTTGTAAATATCAGCATTTTTGTTTATAACATTTAAAGTTTTAAATTGAATTTAAATTTGTATTTTTTTTATTCCAGTGCATTCTAATTGTACTGCTATATTAAAGCAAATCACATTTGTGTGTGATACTTATTATTCCCTTGCTTATTAGATTTGAATTAGTAAAATTGTGTACTGTACCTTCAATTGAGAATTGGGCTTATTCTCACAGCTCACTCCTACAATCCTGGGCAGATGTGGATCTGGCGCGCTGGCAACATTATTGTTGTTATTTTTGTTTTCAGACATGGACCCTGTGATTGAAAGCTGTGCTGGTCCCACTGCCTCCTTGTTCTCTGATCTTTCTTTACTTCCAGAGATTGTGATCTTCTTGATGGATCTCGAGACAGCAGAGGGAGACGCAACGTTCTGGTTCAGGTGGTCCTCTGCTGCCGCATGCTCTTGGTTGCATTTTACAGGAGCTACCTGCTTGACAATGGGTGAGACAAGACAGGGGCCATGTGCACAGACCTGGGGTTGACTGAGGTAGAGCGAGTTCAGGTTGTGCTGTATTGTGCAGTTATCCAAACTCTGGCTCTGCAGATAATTCTGTGTAAACTCCTGGCATTTTGGCACAGCGGGGGTTGACAGCCTTGTCCCAATGGTGAAGGGCTGCACCTTCCTCACAATGCTTTCAGACATGACAAGTGTCCCAATAAGAAAACAAACCAAATTAAAGTCCCAGTGAGCATTGAAAAATGTCTGTCACATTCCTTTGTACACTCTTCTCACTTAACAGTTGTCCAGTCTCTTGTCAGCAGGCAAGTGGAGGGAGAGCTCAGTTCTCCACCTTCTTGTGCATATTGAGAATGCACAGCACACAGCCCAGGATGGCTTCCTTGGACTCCTGGGATCGAATGCGGTCCCAGACGTGGCGCAGCACTGTGCCAAGGTGGGCAGCGCCTGTAGAGAGGCTTCTCCTGAGGAACTGTGCCACTGAGCCTGCCAGTCTGAGGAGCCTGATAACCAGGGACCGTAGCAAGATGAAAACTGCTGGCATGCTGCCTGACTGTGCTGCACAAAAAAAGGAAAAAGAAAGCTCAAAAAGGAGGGGAAAAGAGGAGGGTTGGTTAAGAGAGGAGATGAAGTCACCACCTCTCCACTCTCTCTCCCTTTCTCTCCGTCAGGAGCGACAGAATGGAGAAGGGGCTGTAAAGCCTGGCTGTCAAAGCTTCCCCTCTGAACCTGGACAGAAAATCTGCCCAGATAAGAGGCGAGGAGTAATGGAGACCTCTGTCAGACCTCTTCAATCACAGCTTTTCCTCTATGAGGTAATATCCTCAGCTGAAACACACTCACACCCACACTGCCTTTACCTTACTTCCACATTAAAATGCAGAGAAATTCAGTCAGACTTTAGGTGTTCTGCTCTGTTCCTGTGCAAAAATTGCAAGACAAAATATGGAAGATAAAAAGAAAAAAAAAAAAACCCAGGGTAGTGGCTAAAATCTGAGGAGAGAATCAGCTTCAGAGGATTGTGTTAGCGTGGTCTTTCCAGGAGTGAGAGTGCTTTCCTCAGCTATTAGCCTAGTCTTTCCCCCTCAGTGAGGAGCAGTTGTCACACAGGCTACAGCTGAGTGGAACAGAGCATCGCTGTCGTCCTGCTCCTTAAACCTCAGAGCTGCTGGCATGACAAGTGTTGGGGGAAAACAACAGTCAAGCAGATGATGACCCCTACCACTCCTTGATGGTGGCTAGGGTTCAACAGAGCATGTGTTGGGCTGATTGACTGGAATGGCAGGGGTGGCGTGTGTAAGTCAGAGGAGCAGGGATTACTGAGGAGGGCAGGCAGCAGAGAAAATATTTGCACGGAGCAGAGGGGAGAATCTGCTTCCACTGGTGAAAGCTTTTTCCAAAAAAGGAAGTCTCACTCTTCACTCTGCTGCCCTCTGACGTGACCCCTGCACCTGGTCGAGAGGCACCCAGTAAAATTACCTAGCCTAAACATTTAGAAATGGAAACATTAAAGTTATGTATTTAATGGTTTGCTCTTATATGACTGTTTTATTTAAGTGGAGTTTAAACAACCAACAGTGGGACAGCAGTCACTACAGTCACTCAGCAGGGCTCCATATGACAAGGGTGGCCCTGGGCTCTACATGGTTAATGATGCTTTTAAAAGAGCTCTGGTTTCATGATGAAGTCATCTAAGGAAAGGTTTTAATGTGTTGCAGCTTGAAATCAGAGATAAATTCTGAGCAGGATGGGTGGTGTTCACGGACGGGTGGAGCTCGAGGGGTTTGGTTAACGTTAAGATGCCATTTCCACATATTGCTGGGTGTGATTCATGTGTGCACTAAGTACACTGTCACTGTCATTAAGATAGTATGCATGTTGGTTGTGTTGGACTGGAACAATTAGAAATATGGGAATTATTTCTGTTTAGATCAAATTTAGTTGGGAATTAAATACGCATAGTACATATCTTTATTAAGTCGCACTGTGCAGACCGGGCCATGATAGCTGTTGCTAAGAACATGCAGTCCACAGCTTAGGTAATGATACAACTTGAAGCAAACAAACAAAAACAAAAACGCTTTTCCAAATCTGGGTATTATTTACACCAAAACATTAAAGCTACAGTATGTAACTTTTTTCAAATATTTTTGTTTTAGAAATTGCCGTAGAAGCCTCCTGTCACCCAAACACATTGTAACACAAACCTGACACAAACCACAGCGCAGAATTTCTTCAAGCTGCTAACCAATCGAGTATAATCAGTATTGTTTAAGAAATGATTTGATATTTTTGATGATGCTATTTGAAGTAGCATCAGGAGGTGATTAGCAAAGCATACAGACTGGATACACACCTATCAGTACCTCTAAAGCTCACTAATTAACACATTGTATGAGCTTTACTCATTAGTACTGAATATTTTTGTCTTGAAGTTCTTGGTTCAAGTCCAGTATCACAACACCATCAGTCTACTCATCGAACTGTCAGCAGACTCTTTTCACAAACGTTGTTATTGCTTTAAATTGTTGCTTTAAAAATTCCTTTAAAAAGACAATGAAGCGGTGGACAGATTGGGGACTTTCACAGAACTGGAGAGCCAGAAATGCATCATCTGCACCAGACTTTCTACAAACATTCTGAATTGGCATTATGTAAGATTTGTTAACATCTGATGTGTACACTTTTCAGGCTTTATTACCCACTAGTGTAAAAATTCTAGTAAAAATAATGAAAACTCATTCTTCAGCTTTTAGTCTGGAAGATTTGTTGGGGTATCCCCTGTTTGCCTGAAACCATTTATAAAGGATGGAACGATGTTTGCCTACAGACAGTGGCAGATTAAATTTGAACCAGGTGTCACATCTCTGCCAACCAAGTCAGATAAAGCTACTGTAACACCTTCCTTATGGTGTTTACCCTGGAAGTCCTCTCTCTCTCCCTCTCTATAGCTCTCACTCACATCTAATATTTAACTGTGCCGCCCACATCCGTTTCAAATTATTTAAACCTCAGCCTTGGTCTCAGAGCTTTTTATATGAGCTATCTTCCTTCACTTGCATCTTTGAGGTTGGATGTTAAAGCCAATCTGGTTCTGACCTGATGACTGATATCACTGCCTTACAAGATGATAATGAAAACCCGACACTTGCTCACCACAAGCCCTGCCCGGTGAGCACTCCTGTTAGATATCTTCCACTCTATTAAAGTCAGTAAATACAGCTTGGAAGACTTTTTCAAAGGGTGATGTCACTGACGCTGCCCGCATGAAAGGAGAGTGATAGCTGCGGCAGAGGAGAGACTATGCATGGGAGCTAGAGGGGGTCTGTACTTTTCCACAGTGTATGTCAGCACAAAGGCATGATCGGCCTGCTGATCAGGTTTCTGTACAGATAAGATTAAGTTTTTGTTCTGGATCATGATCAGAAAAGATGTGAAGTTTTAAAATTGGCTGATATGAAAGGAACAGAAGAATGAAAATGCTGACTCCACAAGTTTTATGCCAGACTTATTTGGCCTGAGTTTTTTAGTATCCAGAAAGATCTAACACCAACAATGGACACTGCTGTACCGGAGTCAAATTCCTGGTGTGTTTAAACATAGTTGGCCAATAAAGCTGGTTCTGATTCTCCAGCTTAACATTACACAAAAATCGTCACAGATAAACTGACTTTTAACCAAAACTTACTTTTCAAGTCAAGTTTTATTTTTTTCTTTTCTACATTTATGGCTAAAACTGTGCTGTTTACTGCCTGGCCTGCATCAAAACTAAAACATAACAATTTCTCATTCAGCTCAAAACGCTATTTTTAAATTTTGAGTAAGACAGACAAAGCATAAACAGATTATCTCAAAAATTAAGTTTGGCAGTGTTGTAAAGCAACACAAGCATGTTTATACTCATCTGCTCCTTTTTATTTTATGTAAATGGAAAGAACAAAAGACTATAGACAAGGCAGTTCTCTCTGTTAAGCCTGCAAATGACAAACACAGCTGTGAAGTCACTTTCTACTAGTGCCTATCTGTTGATCTAAACAACTTTAAATTTCTTTGTTTGGCTCACAAGTTTGAACCTACATTTTGACAATGACCTAGCCTCTCTTTGATAGGGCTGTAGTACTGCTGCTGCTGAAGCTGTTACGCAGCTTTAATAATAGCTGCAGTTCACTGATGAGGGGAAATTTTAAAAGTATTACAAAAGCCACATTTTCAGCATTTACCACATGATGTCCACAAGGGAATGGCCCACCCCAGATCTCTCTGGTATGAGCATAGAATGGGTTGCAACACACATTATGACATAAAATCAGTCAAACTCTCTTGAAACATAGGAGCTGCATCCTTGAAACTTTTCAGCTAAAGTACCAAACTTGTTGATCATTGATTTAATATTGACATAACAATGACACCCAGTTTTGACATGCACCTGAGACTCTATTTGAGCTTGTATACTTATCAGCTGATGATCACACATGCCAGTGATGGTTAATCCTGGGATTCCTGTTTTACGCATTTCTTCTGAATATGTCAGCTCTTATCACAACCGTGAAGAGTCCAAGCAAGTGCTGCATGACATCACATGCATTGAAATGTCATCTTAGTCAGTCGGTTCTCATTGTTTGGAGAGAGGCAGTGCCAAGTGTGTCACCAGCAGAAGGAGGCAAGCAGCAACAATGAAACACAATCATCTGCCATGATGCATATCTATTAAACTATAGCAGCATTGTTCCAAAAACAATGCTTCTACTGTATATTAATATATTCTCTCCTCTAGGTTACATTTATAGGTTGCTGTCATGCCTATTTAAACAAAACTGCTGCACTAACATCAGTAATAGCCTGATCTCTGTCCTCCTTTTGCAGCATTCCTCCATACAAATATGCAGCTCATAATCTTTGCTTTATTTAGCCTCCAACTTTGGCAGTAGTAGAAACAGTCAAGAAGCCTAGAAGCCTTTATTTTAAAATATAAAGGCAGGAGTCAGACTTGGCTTTTAGACAAGAGGGTCTTTGTTTTGACTAAGACCTGCTAAATGGATTTCTAATGCTACCATAACCATATGCCTTGACATTATAGAAATACATCAGGCAGTGGAGATAGGAAACAGGGATTTTTATGAAGAAAATTTCATCAGAGGCTTTCACTGGCTCCTAAAAAGCTGATTTGTCAAAGTAAGTTCATGTTG